AAGGTTTATTTAAATACAACACACAGGGAAAATAAAATGATCAGGTGAATAAGATAAAGTAACGTGGCTTATTCTCATTCATACATGCATACAGTTTGGTTCGCACAGAACCCTTAACTTGAAGCACAGACTCTGAACCTATCAGTTCTGGCTAACCAACAGACACCTGAACCTATCAGGTTGGTACTCTGACACACAGTAGTACCCTGTCTGACACACAGACTCCCACACCAGCTTCTTCTTCCCAGCTGCTGCTTCTTCACATCCCAGCGTCTAAACTTCTCCACACACGCATCACATATATATACAGTACAGCCCCTCCTCCTGATGTCCCGCCTTCCACTCCCCATAGGATGGAACTTTCCCTCCAAACCCATGACAGACAGGTAACATCAGTGCTGTATGTAACAGCCACCTATTCTCTTTCTCACCGAGCTACCTGTCACCTCCACATACTGATCTTCCATTCATCTTCTTTATCAGTCTTACAGTCATTCACCTATACTGTATCTCAAATTGCTAACCTTTGGTGGGGAAGAGGCTGTTTCTTTGTATCTTTTTCACCCTGGTGGTTAGCGAGTGTGTGTTTGGTAGAGGCTTCAGACTGCCTGGTAAGGTGTTGCTTTCTGCTTTTTAAAAACTGTCTGTTTTGGGTGGGTTTTGCAGCATGTTTTTAGCCTGGGGGGTTATGTTTCTGTGCTGTGATGGGTCTTGCAGTCTTTGTTTTTTGTGGGGGTTTTTCACATTTCCAATGGGTCTTGCAGGTTTTGTTTCCTTTTTTGTTTTTATTTTTTCCCATTTCCGATGGGTCTTTCAGGGTTTGTTTGATTTTTTTGGGTCCCTCCCTTTTCTGATGGGTTTTGCAGGGTTTGTTTGATTTTTTGCATTTCTGATTAGTCTTGCAGAGTTTGTTTGCTTTTTGGTTTTTTTACCTCATTTCCAATGGGTCTTGCAAGGTTTGTTTGCTTTTTGGGGGTTCCCCCCCATTTCCAATGGGTCTTTCAGGATTTGCTTCCTTTTTGGGTTTATTTTTCTCCCCCATTTCCAATGTGTCTTTTAGAGTTTGTTTGCTTTTTGATTTTCTTTTTTCCCATTTCTGATGAGTCTTGCAGGGGTTTTTTGGGTTTTTTTGCTTTTTGAAGTTCCTTTTTTGCATTTCCGATGGGTCTTGCAGGGTTTGTTTGCTTTTTGGGTTTTTTTTTCCCTTCAGCCAGAACAGATTTATCACATTTCCGATGGGTCTTGCAGTGGGTTTTTTTTTGGGGGGGGTTATTTTTTTCCCCCTGTCGGAACTAATTAATCACATTTCAGTGCATTTCTATGGGAAATGGTGCTTCGACTTATTTCCATTTTGAGTTACGACCATCTTCTGGAATGGATTAAGTTCATAAGTTGAGGCACCACTGTATAATTATTATAACTATGCAGTGTTAACGTGTTATGGTAGGTGATGCCAGCATGCAATCTGGAGACTGCCTGGGGCCCTTCAAGGCTGTTTTTGTGGCATATAGTTTTCCCCCCACTGACATAATTTTCCACAGAAAAGATCATTTTATGCCCCCGGGAGCCTCCAGGATTAATGAGTGTGCAATAAAACTAGCTCTGTGCCTTTACAATCCCTCTGTCCCTTTACAGTCCCTCAAATGCACAAAAATGAAACTAGAAGAAGACTCTGGTAACATCTAGTTATGATTTCTTTGCATTGTCTCTCCCCACTTTTCAGGACTAGTATGCTCTTGGAGACTCCTGGGAGCAGGAAACTGGCAAATAGTTCCTTTAAAATTGCCCACTCCTGAGCTATAATGTCTAATATCTTTCTAATGGACAATGTGCCTCCCATGTATATTTAAACTGTAGGGTTATCCAGGTAATATTCTCCAGAATTCCTTTTCAGTTTTGAAATATTAGCATAATTTTAGGCTGTAGTCCAAATGCACAGATTCCACAAATGAAAAATAATCATACTCCTTTGGGATCACTACAGTATGTGTATTCAGAGTATTGGATAGGGACATGGGGGTGCAGGCCTCAGGCCTCACTGACACATGAAATTCAGGAAGTGACCTTGAACCAGTCACTGTGACTCAGCCTGACCACTCTCACTGGGTTGTCGTGGGGATGAAGTGGAGAAAGACAGCCATGTGTGCCAACTTAAGCTCACTGGCAGAAAAATGGGATATCAGTGTAGCTAATAAATAACCAATAAAAAGAAACATTTACCAACCATAAAACTGTACGATCTACTGTCCTTCCTCTAACATTTAATGTAAAATATGTTCACCAGTCATAAGACTATAATTCTAGAAGTAAGTCAAGGACAGCAGAAATCCTTAAATTGGCCAAAACAGATGGCAATAATCCCTGTTGCACATTCCCAGGACTGTATGCAGCCTACTGTTTAATCCATGTGCACCTTATCTGTCTCTTCCAGGCTGTTTGTTTATTTTTTTTTGTATAACTGCCATTGGGTTTCCTTCACAATTCTGCGTTTTTATCCTTCTTTTACAGCACATTTCTGGCGTTTACTTTGTTCCTCTGCTTATCAATACATAGTGTAAATATCCCTTACACATTTTTGAAAAATGACAGCTGTCTTCCCAATTTTGGAGAGCTTTTTTGTGAAAACAGGGATACCGTATTTAACTTTCAGCAGGACCTAGTGTGTACATATTAAGTTTTATGCTGATGAAATTTTGCCACGTAACAGAATTGCTGTGCAAATTCCAGTGTCAGTGAACATGCTTTTTAGTAGTTTGGTTGCATGGAACTGAAAGAATCTTCTGTATTTTAAAGTTAGCATTCGGGGGTGGGGTGGGGAGTTCAAGTCAAGATGACCACTCTCGTTACATATTTTTCTAGTAATACACAGAATTTTAGAGGAAAAGGAAAAAGAGAAAGAGATTTGCTTTCCTTTCTTCTAATTTTGGGTAAGTATTTATTCTGCTTTAGGAATATGGTTTAACAACAGCACATTTCTTTGTTGCATGCTATCTCATTCTGCTAGCATCACTTTCTGTTCTGGTAACTATACTGTAAACAAATAAAAAATGGATCTTCACATATTCGTATACTGAGAATATATCATTGATCTAGCTTTGATCAGGTTTCTTGACCCTACCTCTTTTTACAGAAGGGATTTTTATTTTATGCTGATATTCTCTCTATTGTAGTGTCTGTTGAAAAATATCACTATTTAATATTAAAAGTACTCATTTTTTAATGTAACATTTTCAGAATATACAACATATCTGTTAGTACTTGTTACTTATAGTAAGGTAAGATGCCATGGTGATAAAGAAAGATACTGAATATTTCTTTGAAACACATAGTGATTGATATTCATCATTGAAAACAGTAACTTAAACATTTTACCAGTGAGGAAAATAATTTTGGGGACCAGGGTATGGCTGGGGGGGGGGATTCTGCATGTCTCATTTTTTTTTCTTATTGCTTCTGACCTTTTCTGTATTACATATTTTACTGGGAATGTCAAGTTTTTGTTTTTGTTTCAGAGTGACTTTTCTGGGATGAAGAGGATTAAACATATTGATGGGATAGATATCTTGAGCAGTTAGAAGTTGAGATTAATCAAAAGAGTGTGCTTTCTATGTAGGACTGGTTTCAGAAAGCAATCACACACCCAAGTTAGCAAGTGGTCCCATCTGTTAAGCTTTTCATTAAGATCTTGTGATTGTAAGGCACTAAGGATTTTTACTTAAAATTCCTTGTATTCAACATTGCTCTTTGATTAAATACATTGATAAATGAACTAGCGATTTAAATAGCTTGAACTATTGATGTTGACAAGTTGAACCAGTGATTTAAATGCTCATCAGGACTTTGTCTCTGCTTCACTTGCATTTATTTATGTGTTATGAGTTAGGCAAATGAATTACATGACATCAAAATAATCCAGCAATACCAATCTGCTATAAATGTTGCTTTCACCCCCCAGTACATTTGATCCCTGTTAACCCGGTTAAAGAAAATGATCTGAATGCCAAGAATCGAAAGAGAATAATGCCAGATCCACTGACAGAGCCACCTGCCATCGATCCCATTTATGAAGCCCTGTTTTATTGTAATATTCCCACCATACCAGAACGCAGTATGGAAGGTACGTGTTGATACTGTATTGAATCTACTGTTTTATTTGTGCATACTTTTTAAATTGCAGCTATTCCTATGCAAAGAGCTGTCTGACAGTGACCAAGTAGAAGGAAGCTGCAACAGCAATTTAAATCAAAGTATGAAATATAAAACTTATCTTTTCATCCTTGATTTTAACAACCCGAGTCAGGTACATTCATCTCTTGTGTAACAGATCAGGGGTTCATCTTCTCTGATACCATGTTTCCATGGCTAGATGCTTAGGCAATGTGAAAAGCAGGCATGAAAGCAACAGTCCTCCCCCGCTAAGTTGTGTGGGCAACTATACTGCCCCTGCCTTTCACCCTAGAGGTTCTGCATTTAGCTATGATCATTGATAGCAGTTGATTAAAAAATGTGCTGCATGAATTAGAAACTAGAATTAAAATATGCTGCTCATATACCACCCTATAATGCTTAGAGTTCTCTGAGCGGTTTACAGTTAATTGCTTCCCTGGTGAGCTGGGTTCTCAGTTTATTGACCTTGGAAAGACAGAAGGCTGAATCAGCCTTGAGCCAGTTTCCTATGCCATCAGGATCAAACAGAGGTTGTGAGCAGAGTTTTTACTGCAGTACTGCAGTTTAACCACTGTGCCACAAGGCTCTTCCTATTAATTAATTAGAAACTGCTTTATCATGTGGCTATGAATGCAATAGATAGTTTTGTGAAGCCCTTTGCATTTGTTTTGCTTGAATCAAATTTCTATATATTTCATGGGTGATTCTGAATTTTCCTTTAACAAAAACAAAACAAAAATGGAAGCATTTTGCCACATTAAAGACTGACACATTTATTTCAGTATGAGCTGAGTTTTAACGTTCCATGTGGTTGAGGTGTCATCATGGAAACTTGTTTTGCTCCTCAAAACAAGTATAATATACTGAAATTAAGAAATCTGCACAGTATTTCAAATTCAGCTGCACCACTTTTATCTTAATTATGGTAAGACTTATTTGCTATTGAGTAGCCTTGACAATCAATTTGTCAAGAGTATTCTGGAGTTCTTGTCAGCTTAATTTTCCTGTCCTGAATACTTTGGTGTTGCCTGCATACCTGGGAATACCATTCCTGAATTTTCAAACTCTTGATTTCATGATAGCATAAATTACTACCTTTGAACAGTTATCCAACAAACCAGTCAGAGAAGCATTTCATCCGACATGATAAGTGTAAGTGTTGTCAATTTGACACAAGTTTTTTGGCAAATTCAACATTTTCTTAAAAGTATGAAGCTATCAGGAAAGTCCAGCATAGAAAGAGTTTATTGCAGAAGAAGGAACCACAAAAATAAGGGAATTTGTCAAAATAATGTTGAAAGAGGATTCAAGAGGCTATTCAAAACTACAAAAATAGAAAAGTACATCTTATATTCCACTTTAATGAAGATACAAGTAAGACTTAAACTCCCAGCACAATTAAGCTAAAAGAAGGAAGAAGACTGTCTGCAAAGCAAAAGCCTTACCCAAATAGAAAAAAATAAGGAGCATAAACTCTGCCAAACCAGTTATCAGAAAAACAAAAACTAAATAAACACATCAGACAGTTATTTAAATATGTCAGAAGCAGAGGACTATCCAGAGTAATGGTCATACTTTCATACATGAAGGAACAGCTAAGGTATATAGGGAGCCAGAGAGAACACTAAAGAATTTCAGAAGATCAGTCTATGTTTTATAGACTACAGCAAAGCCTTCTGCTATGTAGATCATGAGAAATTACGAGTTGCTCTGAAAGAAATGTGTATGCCTCAGCACTTGATTGTTCTGATGCATGACTTGGAAGCTGCTGTTAGATTAGAATAGGGAAAGAAAAGTGTTTCCTTTGGGCGAAGATCAGACAAGGGTGCATTTTTATCCCCTTACCTGTTCTGTTTATGCAGAACATATATGGAAAGCCAGACTAGATTCAGATGAAAGTGGTGTGAAAAATTGGAAGAAGCATCAATAATGTTTATGCAGATTATACCCTTTTACTAGCAGAAAGCAGCAATGGCTTGAAACAACTTTTAACAAAGTGAAAGAAGAAAGTGCCAAAGCAGGATTGCAGATGAATATTAAGAAGAAAAATACCATGACTACAGAAGAACTAAGCTTTATTGCTTATTTTATTTATTTATTTATTTGATTTATACCCCGCCCATCTGGTCTAAAAGACCACTCTAGGCAGCTTCCAATATAGTAAAAACAGTGAAATAATATAAAAAACACACACAGTTACAAAAATCATATTGTAATAAACAGAATACAACAATAGAATAGAAAATACATAAGGCGAGAATAAAAAGAAGTCAGATATTAACTGGAGGGAAGGCCTGAGTGTATAGCCATGTTTTTAATTGACTTTTAAAAGTGTCCAAAGTGGGGGCCACGCGGATCTCAGGAGGGAGATTGTTCCAGAGGCGAGGAGCCACCGCCGA